AAAAGGAAAAATTTGTAGAAATTGTGGAAAAAATGGGGAAAATTGGTGACATTGGGGATTGGGGGAGGGGAAACAGGAGGTGATTTTGTCTCCAGGATGGGGGAGGGGTGGCCTCATGTCCCTTCTAGATCCTTCCCTGTCCCCAATGTCCCCAATCCCCCATTTTCCCCAGTTTTCCCCCAATTTTCCCCTTTTTTCCCCCAATTTTTCCCTTTATTTTGTCCAATTTTTCCCAAATTTTTCTTTGATTTTTTACCGTTTTTCTCTGATTTTTTTCCCATTTTTCTCCATTTTTCTCCAATTGTCCTCCATTTCTTCCCAATTTTCCCCATTTTTTCCCAATCGTTGTCAATTTTTCATGCTATCCTCAATGTCCCCAATGTCYGCAATTTTTTCTCCAATTTTCTCCATTTTTTTTTGCGTTTTTTTCTCCATTTTTCTCAATCTTTCTCTGATTTTCTCCATTTATTTTTTCTTTTTTTCCCAATTTTTGCAATTTTTCCCCATTTCCACAGGTGACGGTGTCGGTGGGTGGCACCGAGGTGCTCTCGGCCCCCGTGGGTGACATTCGGGGACAGTGGGAGGTGACGAGTTTTCGCTTGGAGCGGCTCCAGGCCACGCCCGAGGTGGTGGYGCAGGAGGAGCAGGACCTGGGGACGCGCTGGGGACCGAGCTACGAGGTGACATTCGACCTGCAGGGGGTGGCACCTGTCCCCAGGAGCGTTGGTGAGTTGGAGACAGGAAAATGTGGAAAAAAACAGGAAAAAATGCTGAAGAAATGAGAAAAAATGGGAATAGAAGGTGAAAAAGTGAGAAAAAACAGTGAGAAAATTGGAGAAAAAACAGCAAAGAAATGGGAAAAAATGGCAAAAAAGGGGGAAAAATTGGGGGATTGGGGACATTGGGGACATAGAGCAAAAAAAGGAGAAAATAAGTCAAGAAATGGCAAGAAAATGCTCGCCACCCAGCTCCTCACCTGGAGCAGCTGCGCACCCTCGTTGGGGTCCCGACGGGGATTCGAACCCCGGTCTCCGGTGTGCGGGGCGGGGACGCTCCCCGCTGTACCAAGCGAGCTGGCCGTGCCGGTGTCCAGCCTTTAGCCGGGGTTGTTTGTTCTGTCAGAGCGGGCGGTGCCGCGCGTGGCCGTGCTCCGCGAGGAGGGCAGCAACGGCGACCGGGAAATGGCGGCCGCCTTCGCCATGGCCGGGTTCCAGGTCAGACATCGGGGAATTGCGGGATTGTTTGGGGTTCTTTTGTGGGTTGTGGGGAATTT